TCCCTGCCCTATCCTGCCTGCCCTGCCTGCCGTGCCCAATCCTGCCCTATCCTGCCTGCCCTGCCCTGCCCTGCCTGCCCTGCCCGGTGCCGCTCCAGGTCCCGCCTCCCTCGAGTTCCCCCCCACACATCCGTGCTGCGATGCCCGGGCTCCGTTCTGTGCCTGCGCGAGGAGTCCGGGCGCATTCAGACCTTTCCGGGAAGAGACGCCTCCAGGGTGGCTGAGTGTTGTTTTGTTTGGCGCCATAAATAAAACGTTCATGGTGGGTGTATTGGGGTGCAAAAGCCGCCTTACCTCCTCACCTGGATGCCTTTCCAGCTCTGACCTCGCTGTGCACTTGTCCTGTCTTCAGCCCTTTCCTTTGCACTTGAACAAACCACAGGCTTCCTGTGGTGACCTGCTCTGTGACACCGCAAAAAAACGGGCTTGTGCTGCTGCTGCTGGTGGGTCAAGAGGTGCGAATCAGGCTGTCCTTGCTTAACTACTCTGTTGCATTTAATAATGATATTATAGCTAAGGCAGGGGTGGAGGTCGGTGCAGGGGGGTGTTGGCCCTTCAGGGCTTGGGTTTGTGTGGGGATGTTCACTCTCTGGAGCACGGTCCAGCAGCTCAGGGGTTTCCAGCTGGGGCTGACTCACATTGGTGACTTGCCCTCCATCAGGGTACGTCCTCGGGTGGGGAGTTGATATTTTGGGTGGCGACAGCAGCAGCAAAGTTGGTCTCGGAGCAGGAAAGGGTTAGGGATTAACGTGAGGCAGTTGAGTGGAACAGGACAAGTGACGCCTGACCCCTGTGGAGCTCAGCACTGCTCAGCCTTGGGCTTTTTTCTGGGTGATCTGGCCACCAAGGGCCTGGTTGGTGCTTTCCGCTTGGTGCCTAGAGGGCAGGAAGGCAGCTGGGGTGGCAGCAGGGCTGTGGGAGGACCTTGGCCCCCCCGGGGGGATTTTTTACCTCTCCAGGCACGGGCTGCCTTCATGCGCCCCAGGTTCCTCTCTCTGGCCACCCCGTGCTCCACGATAGGCAGGGGGTAGTGGGTGCCCACCAGGCAGCCCGCGCGCTCCTGCACGGCCTGTGGTGCCTTCCAGGGCTCGTAGATGTACTTGGCAGGGAAATCCTTGAGGATGGGGAGGTATTTTCTATGGCGAGGGGTCAAGCCACCATGGAGGTCACCCCTCTGTCCCCTGTGGCTTTGGGTTTCACGCCTACCGGATGTACGCCCCGTCCCGGTCTGTCTTCTTGCCGAAGGCGACGGGCGAGTAGATGTGGAAGTACCTGTGGAAGAAGGCGCTGCCCGACAGCCACAGCCAGTTCCCGGCATTGAGGGACCAGTCAGCGTCCAGCAGGAGCTCCTCAAAGACCTGCAGGACATGTGATGGCATGGGGACGGTGTCCCTGAGGGCCTGGCTGGTGTTGGGAGGCATCTCCTGACCTTCAGCCCCTTTTCCCAAGAGATCCAGAGGTCCCCGCGGGTGAGGAAGCAGGCAGCGGCGTGCCGGGCCAGGTGGTGGATCCAGCCCTCGGTGCGCAGCTGGGTCATGATGGCGTCGATGAAGGGGTAACCTGTCCGGCCCTGCCGTGGGGTGCTGGGGTTAAGGGGGTGGTTTTGGGGGGGGTCAAAGGATTTGGGGCTTATCCCCAAGGGAAATACCTCCCTCCAGGCGCAGAGGTGCTGGGGGTTGTCATCCCAGTCGACCTGTAGGCAGACGGGGTTGCCAACCATCCGGTCGAAGTTGGGAATGCTGGCACCCGCGGTGTAGAAAAACTCCCTCCAAAGGAGCTGCCCGTGCAAGGAGACGGGGGGCTGGGAGTGCTCCCGCTGCTGGGAAAGGCAGGATCAGCCCCTCAGCTGGGCTGGCTCCTGGCTTCTCCAGCCTCCAGGTCCCCCCACCCTAAAAATGCCACCTCACCCTCTGGTAGACCTCATCCAGCCGCCACCAGAAGGTGCGGACTGACAGACAGCCAAGTGTGAGGTAGGGGCTGAGGACGGTGGTGCTGGGGCGCAGCGAGGTGGGCTCTGTCTCAGGCTTCCTGAAGCCGCACACCCAGGCCTGGATGGGGGACACACCAGGACTGTGTTTTGGGATAGGGGGAGGCAAACATCCCCAAAATTAGGGTGATGGGCATTGAGCACTGACCGTCCTCTCCATGAACATGTCGAGCCGGGCGAGCGCTGCTGTCTCCCCACCAGGGTAGAGCTGAGGACCCACCTCACTGGGGTCGTGGCCCAGCTCCTCCAAGGTGGGGATCCCGTAGTTGATGTCGTGGCTGGCCTGGCATGGAGTGAAGCAGCCTGGAGAGCAGGGTGTGGTTGTGATGGCCATCACTCTGCTCCAGGGTGAACACTGACCCAGCTTTGTGCTCTGCCCCCTCAGGTCCACCCCATGCTCACCCTGGAGGTGCTCCTGGGTGAGTGCAGGGGCTGGCTTCTCTGGAGGTCCAAGGGATGCCAGGAGGCTCTGCAGGTGCTTGTAGGTTAGGGGGGCTTTGCCGTTGTTCAGGGCGAGGACTCTGGGATGGGAGGGAGATGCTCAGTGCTGGGGTTGGATCCCCCATGACCCAAAGGATGGTGCTTGGCACCTACCTCTCAGTGTCGTAGAGGGTGTGGGACACCTCCCGGATCACCTCAACGCCGTGCTGGGCTGCCAGCTCAGCCACGGTGGCATCGCTCTGGCGGGTGAGGGGTTCGGTGTCCACCTCGAAGGTCAAACGTGTCGTTCCCCAGGCACGGAAGAGATGGGGGAGAACCTCCTCAGGGCAGCCCCGTGCCACGAACAGCCTGCCGGGGAGCCGGGTGGGCACAGAGCTCCTTCAGGTGCCACAAAACCCCCTTGAGACAGCACTCACCTGGAGCCTATTTCCCGTAGGCTACTGTCCAAATCCTGCAGGGCCTCCAGCAGGAACCGGCGGGCATTGGCGCCCGCCC